CCTGGCCCGGGAGCCACAGCCCGCCGGGGCACCTCCGCCTCCTGAGGCAGTGCTCCGCCGTCACGGGGGGTCGGGTGAGAGACGCTGAGGGGACGCAGGTCCTGCAAGTGGCGTGGCTGGTCCTGTGCTGCCCCCCCCGGGCGCTCCAGCCGTCCTGCGACACCTCTCCTGGAGCAGGTGCACGAACTTCAGTACTGCAAACCTTCCACATCAGTGAGATTAAGAAAGATCAGCCTAGCGCCGATTCCAAGGTTCACGTGGCTGAGAGATTATATTCATAGTCATTTATAGGCTTGGTTTGGGTTTTTTTAAGAGACAGCAAACACTCCCACTTTCCCTAAGAATCAGGCATTTCTTACTCTTCCAAACATACCACAGCCAACATCTAAACTGTCCCAGTGTTTTCCAGACTTCAGAAATTACAGTCCACACCCGCTGCCAGTTTTACTTCTCTAGTTGTAGCCTATTTCCTCCCACCACTTTTGAATCCATTACTTGGCAATAGCGAAGCTCACAGAAATTGCAATACAGATTTCCTTTTGCTGCCGCTACCGCGGCTCTTCCCCTGTTCTGAAAAACTCTCACCTTATTTTCACAACTAGCGGAGTGGTCTGACGACAGGCAAAGGCACATGGATGCATCATCTTACTAGCATGCAAAATTCAGCATCACCGAGTAGTTATTTCAGTTTATTTTGCTCAGATAAAAACAGAACTATAAAATGTTTGGTACATTTTATTTAGCGACATACAAGAAAGAATATAAATTGCCACATGTTAAACTTGCCACAAAACAGCTGGAGAATCACCCCGCTCCCTCCCCCTAAAATTATGTATCCAAAGTGGTACTTTTCTGCGGAAAATTTGTACCAGAGAGCTTGCGGTACATCAGTTTATACTACTGTTTCTTGATAATCTGTGTGGTATGAGAGAGTCACCAAGTGCTCCAAGTTTTACTTTGTAGTAACTGTAACTTCCTAAACATGTTCTTGTGATTTCCCCAACATGTGTGTTCCACTTAAATGCACAGCACCCAAAATCGATGGATATCACATATCTATATAGCCAGGATTCAAGTCCATTCAAGACAACTGTTATCAACAGGTCACAAATTAGTATGTATGATGGACAAGATAAAATACACAGTATAAGCTAAACATGCAGAGCACCCTTTTCAACGCTAGGTGTCAATTCTGTGGGTTCCTCCCCCACTATAATTTAGCCCAGTGGAGCTTAATGTTAGCATCACTGACCAAACCCAAATCACAATTTTAATTAACTAATGCAGATATAGTTTCCTTCATGTTAGCATGACATCAACTCTCCTCTCAGTCACTACCGGCTTTAAAGTGTGTTTTTATAAGCCTTTAAGGCATGTAAAATAATATATGCTTAGAGTAAAAGAAGTGCCATAATTTACTTCTACCAGCAAAATATCTCTTCACCCCCATTCGTTGTTCCCCTCCTTTTCACTCTCTCCCCATATCCCACTATCACTGGAGTGGACCTAAATAATTTTCTATTACCAAATGAATTTTGATCACTTCCATGCTGCATTCATTTGCAGCCCCTTCTTCATCCTGACACTAAAATCTTTAGGAAACAAGTGCAAGAAGATGAAAAAAGCCAACAGAATTTAGGACTCTAATGGGGAATACAGAGGACCTCACTTCTGTTTCAAAGTGGCCATAAATTCAGTCACCCAGATCATGTCCAGCTGATAATAATTGCTTTCAGAGACTGTTTAATTTCAGTTCTGTTCACTCATTTTATCCTATGGATTGTAAGATTTTTTGCAGTAATCCTTTCCAAAGGATTCCAAAGATAAGGCTGAAGGTGTATTCAGGAAAAAAAAAGATTCTAATCAATAACTTTTTACAAAATGATCCTCACAGACCCTCAGTGAGGTAGGCATGTATTAACTCTCATTTTTACATACAGGGAACTGAGGAACAGGGAGGTGACTTCCCCGTGGTTAGAGTAAATCAGTGACACAGGAAAAACTGCAGTTAGTTCCTGCCTTTCAACCTTATGATCAATTCATTAGACCAGGCTGCCTCAAATAAAAGTGAAACGAAGTGTGTTGTTTGTTTTTATTAAGAAAACAGTCACTTGGATGGCAGCAGACTTTTCTAGAAACCTTAGGGCCTTCTCTAAGTGAAAACCATTTCTCAAAAGACCTGGTTAAATACCAGGTTTTGGGGTGGGTTGTTTCTATTAAGCCATGCAGTGTAGAATATGAAGATTTTTAAACAAAAACTCCCAAGACATCAGAATGTGTATGCATTCTTATCTGCGATCACCTTAAACCACAACGCCTGCTTTTCGCTAGTCATTTGCTTCTTGCACTTCATCGAGTGTGAGCAGTAAACCTCGACAAGTCTGTTAGCTGCCCCATTCTTAGGCCAAAACATTAACATAATTTAGGATTTCCAAAAGCATTACAAATATTTCAAGTTTAATCTACAAAGTGTTGAGTTAAAACCATGACTATACATGTGGTCACACTTCTATTAATATCAGAACTTAAAGAATTTTAAAAATAAACCAAAATGACGTATCTGGAATACATGTTAGCATCCTTTTAAGGCTATATAGGATCTTGTTTCTCAAGCTGCAAATACCAGCATCCTTTAGGGATTAGAGACTAAACACCCCTCTGTTCCCCAGCCTTAAGCCACTCTGCAATTTAGCAATTTGACTGTCAGGGCAGTATAACCATCACATGTGGGCACCATCCGATATGTCCAACAGAAGGTCAATACAGTACAATGCGTTTCCAATACAGTACATGACTGTAGCAGCATACAGACCCCAAGTAATAGTCTCCAGAACTGCCTAGAGAAATCTGGCTGACATCAGATTAAACTAGTATTTGTGAAGAGACTTACCAGTGTGTGTCTCTGTTAACCTCCAGCTTTTCTCCTGCTCTGGAGTTAATGCCTCACAAATAAGGTAATTTTACCTTTATACAGTGTCAAACAAATGCAATTTTTTTTTTCTCCTTAAACCTATCCTCAGATGAAATGAATATTCTGAGGTTGGAGTCTGGATCAGAGACTCGAAAAAGTAATTTAGTTGGTTATCAGCTCACAGTAGGGGAAACCAAACAAAATGTGTAGTTTAGGACTGACAGCTCAAAATAAATGCAAAGGAAATTTTTTTTTTTTATACTGTGGATGATTTCTCAATAAAAATAAAAGCATGCCAATTTTACAACTCCAGTAGTCTCTTAATATCTGAAGCAGCAATAACAAAACCTTCATAGAAGTGTTTGTGGTGGAGGGTCCAGACAATACTCCTGCCTAACCGGTGAACTAAACGGAACCCAGACTCCTAATTGTGAGAGTCTCTCCAATGCCGTTGAAAACTGTAACTCACCACCAGTCTATCATTAACTCCAGATACAGGTTAAAACAAAAACAAACGAAAAACACCATTAGCAAAACCTGCTTGAAATGTTTTCTCTCAGGGCTACAGAAAAATTAGCCAAATTCTTTATTCCACTAGTAGTGAAACAGCCCCCATGGCAATGGTTACATGATCACGTTATCTCCAGTCTACTTCAAGTCCATATAAAGTCACATTTATTTAGACTTAACACACATGGTTTCCAGTGATGCTTCTGGTTTAGGCTCCAGCTTCTCTGGGAATTCTAGTTTTTCACAGATTGTCTCCTTTACGGGTAGATACTGAGAGATCTCGTTAGGTTCCGTGAACAGGGAAGGTGGAACGTGCTAAGAAACAAAAATTTTACATGAAACAAGTCAGTGAAGGGGGGGGCTTGTATGGCTCAATAGGCTAAGGAAAGGTATTTAATGTTTTTTAAAACAAGATTATAAAAGCGTAAGAAAGTCAGAGACATTCATGAACAGCTACAATGCTTTAAAAAAAAAATTTACAAAAAACAGGAAAATAAAGGGGGGGGGGAAACACCTGAAGTCAGGCATGATTATTAAAATTTACCTTATAACTTCAAATGTAGGAGCATTCTACTCCTTGTATGGCTCAATAGGCTAAGGAAAGGTATTTAATGTTTTTAAACAGCAGATTATAAAAGCGTAAGAAAGTCAGAGACATTCATGAACAGCTACAATGCTTTAAAAAAATATATTTATCATTTGAATGTATCAAACAGTCTTTTTGAGGCTCTAGTTCTGGATGAGACTAGGACGGCCACAAGGGATACCATGCTTACTGTCTTCTAGCCATTGCAACTCCATTCACTGGAGCTGCTCAGATTTAGCTATCGATAATTGCTATACCTCAACATGTATCTTAGTTTTATGAAGTCCACCACAGACATTTATACGAAATACTAAAACTCATTGGATTTTAATTTCATACTTGAAGAAATTCGGTGGTTTCAGTAAGTTAATCAATATCTTTCCCTGGAGATTCCTGCAGGCAACTTTACCACATACAAGACATTTGATGGGGGGGGGAAATCTATACTGAGCAAACGACCTTCAAACTTTCTAACAACATTCTTTAAGAAGCGTATCCAGAGCTATTCAAATGCAACCTGTATTTTGGCTACCCCTAACACACACAGAATCATACTACTGTTTCAATTATTTCAAACCTAAGTGAAGCAGGAATCTTTTTTGCTTTACCTATGCAAGCTGATCTAAGGAACTGAAAAGTCATGTGCATTTCCTCTCTATAACAACGGGCAGTAAAAATTATTTAACAGCGTAGATGGTAATTTTTAAACATGAGGTGAAGTAAAACCTAGATCACTGATTTATATTTCAAAAACCACGAAACTATCAAAAAGCTCATGTCTGGATTTAGTCCTGTTTATAGGGATCGCATATTGTTAAGAAATGATACAGTGCCCCTTTCCTCAAAAAGAAAAGCATTTTGCAAAAATACTCCCTCAGAAGGTTAGCAACACATTAGTCACTTTTTACAGGTGAAGGAAAAACAAGGGAGAAGGAAAGTAACAAGAATACCCAAGATCAGGTATTGGGTCAAGAATAAAAATCAACAGCTGCAACTCCAAATGTGCCACAAATTATTCTGAGCCATTACTAGGGTTTTAAGGTAAGCTATTAAACTCATTTGAGAAAAAACGAATGAGTCTATTACCAAACAGATCTTAACCCCTAATACTACTTGCAAGCATACAACCAGCCCTGAAATTTAGCATCATGGGACACGGACTACCTGATTTTGTGGCTGAACAGTTCTATGAAAAAATAAAATAATAAAAAAATCTTGTTAACTCAAAAGTAGAAAAAGTAACCCAATCCCGTATCTTGTCATGTGATCTGAGCATTTACAAATGCAAATCTGCCCTGAAGTCACCAAAATAAACGTTGCATAAGCAGAAAGGTTTTTCTTCTGTATCAATTCCAAACCTAACAAAGAATGACTTACAGACACAGTATTTTCTATACTGACCATAAAACAATTTTAAAAAGCAGACAGAAAAAAAAAATTTAAAAAATGCAATACCTTTAAACTTGATATTTTGCTTTCTCTGGATGTATATTCTCGCAACATGTAGGCCTTGTCAGCCTAATGGGAAAAAAATAGCAAAAATTAATTACAAAATTATCATCTAGTACCAGTGCAAAATGAGTATTTTAAATACATTGAATTTAGTAAGCATTTGAATTTGGTTGACCACAGATTTTCACCTGGGAGCAGAAACGTACGTTCAAATTCACGACGACAGAGAAAGGTATTTGCAATGTTCCCTTTCCCAAAAATCACCTTTCTGCATGCAGGCATGAAAAAAAAATTTCTGTGACTGAATATGATTGTTAATCTTCACTCAGCTAGACCTCCTACATCAGTACGAATACAGCTAGACAGAATAAGCAAACCACAACTGTTATGTTATTATTTATGAGATACTAGAACTCAAATGTAGTATGGACAGTTATTTGCAAGTTAAAACTTGTGGTCATATATTGGACAAGCCAAAAAACATTTACTTGGAGACGAGGATAAGAACAGTATCATATCATTTACTGTCGCCTGTTTTTCCCCTTGTACTTCCTCTCTAATCTGCGTCTGTCAAATATATTTAAATTATTACTTCACATGAGGGGTAGCCTACTCTGCTCATACAATATCTAGCCCCATGGCATCCAGCACTTGGTTGCTACTTCAGCACCACCATAATAATAAAATACACTTGAAAGTTCAATTCAGGTAACCTCTATGCCCCCAAACATCAGTATTAAACTACAGGAATACCAGCAGGTCTTCTCTGAAAGTAACACAGCAAGGGAGCATCTGTAAAACATTCATGATGGCGAATAAGGGTTTACCTCATGATGAAGCCTTGTATCATTCATCCTGATAAGTACCCCATCAACTCGCAAGAAAAACCTCAACAGCACAAAAAAGCTGGAAGGCATAACTCTCTGCAAAAATAAAAATGTTCCATTCAGCATATTACAAAGTTTTACTTTAAGTATGCACTTATCTAGATCAGATATTCACAACAAAAGATAGTATGAGGAGCTTTCAGTAGTAAAGTCAAAATTTGGGCTGTTGATATGCTACAGCTATCATTGGACAGCAGGACAGACAGTGTCTTAAAAGATTCTTAGGCAGGACGCAGAAAGAGGGAAAAGATTGTTCCCTGAAGCAACTGACAGAAAGATTTCAAGACAACATAGTTTCCAGTAAGATTATATTTCTAAGAGCGAGGAAAAAGAACATTGCATTTTAAACTTTAAATCCCAGAAGGAACAACATGCAAAAAGTGACTGCCTTTTGCATACATCAGCCAACTGAGTCACCAAGCATCTTGTATACACCTCTCAGTACTCACTATTTTTACACTCAAACTTGATACTCCATGATCATGAAGTTCGTCTTCAAACAGAAGTACTTCTTCAAAAAACATAATTTGTTCCCTGGCTTTCAATTTCTCTGTATTTATGTGTTCTGTTGTAGGAACAACCTAAAGAAAAAGATTAAGAACAGTTAACATCAATTTGCTGCCAAGCTACATAAAGTTTGTCCTGATCTTTTAAATCCCACAATTGCTAGTTTTAGAAAGGAAAAAGCTTTTGGGGCACTCAGCTTAAAACATTCCAAATTTCTAAGAGAAAAAGTTAAAATTAAAACCAAAGTTTCCAAGAGGAACCATCAATCAAAGCAAAAACCAAGAGTGGAAAATTCTGAATAAACTTCCCTCTGGCTACAGGCTCAGTAGGGTTTCAGCTGCAAACATTTCTGCTCACTTTCTGTATTTCAAAACATTTGAAGGTGCCTCGTGTTTAACATACAAATGAGAAGTTCTGGGTTATAAACAGGATTCCATGCATTTAACATTTCTAGCCCACTACGAACCCTGAACGGGATTCTAATAAAGCCTTTCCATGGAAATCAAGTACCTATATGTTTTCCATCTCATGGTCTCCACATACACTCATACACTTCCGCTGCCTAAAGACTACGGGCCAACGGGACATCGTTTATTACTGTGCTGCGCTTTTAATTCCAGAATAACTCAAGTGATCTATAACTAACGCAATCCTAGTGAATTAATATAGATTATCTGCTTAGTAGCAGGCAATCTGCATACAGTAAAGAGAAGCTGGGAACTTCAGTCTTATTTCAAAGTAAATAAAGACAAGGGAGAGCCTGCAAGTTTAAATATGAGGAGTTACTGTTGCAGAAAAACATAAAGCCATTGAAAGCAGCCAGATCTACGTATCTGCTTAGACAAATGGGCAAGCAACAGAGAGTAAAGGTACTTGAGAACTACACAGTTGATAGTTCTGTTGTGTGTGAGGAGCTCAGGGCTTCAGAGGGGCATCCAGCAAGCACTGAAGATTCCCATGTGCTTTACTTTCTGAGTAAGTCCTCACTAAGGGACACAATGGCACCCTTTTATATAATCCTAAAATGCTTTAAAAAAACCCAACAGTTATTAAAATAAGCCATGATTTGATTAGGATAACATGCTGAGAGACATGAAAAGCCCAAACTATACTTTGAAGTCACAAACTATGAAGCATGAAAGATTTTACAGAAGCCTATTGAAAGGTAAATGACAGCTTTAAAAGAAAAAGTGTTTGTGTTTGACTGAAACAATATGGAATCAGCATTTAACAAGGAGAAAAAGGTTACCTTTAATGTTGCAGTATCTCCCAGCAATGTTCCTTTGTAGTCTGTTGTGTAAGTCCAATCGTATGGCTTGACAACTTCCTTAGTGTGCTCAGTCTCACTCCTCAAGAAGTGAAAGAGAAAACAGCACGCTTTGTAGTAACTCTTAAAAAATGACAACTTCACATAAGATTATGTATTACGATTCCCACACTCCAAGAAGAAAACCAGCAGCATTGTCTGTGCTGCAATGATGTCAAGACTTAATCATACAGTATTGCTTCCTTCACAACATGTTTCCATAATAAATTAGAAAACCGTTACCAGAATTCCTGTGCTAACACTATCTCCGTCCTATGAGTCAAAATAAAGATTTTAGTTCAATGTTGTTGAAAAATTTGTATTTCAAGATCATTTTTTCTTTAAGTAGGCAGAAAGCAATCTGCTGATAACACACAGCAATCATTAACACTGCTATTTGCCTTAGTTTTCATGACAGCTTTGATTTCTCTCTGTGCTTTCTCTCTAGGTGCTCTGCAAGTAATTTTGTAAATACTATGCAGTGCAATTAGTTCTCATGCATGGTAATTGTTCTGCTATATTCCTAAGGCTAAGGTTTTGAACACGTACAGCATTTTGCACTTTGAAACGCCACGCAACACAATCTTGTAATGCTCGAGGCCCTATGAGTTTGAATAAACAGAAACAGCATTAAGCCATGTTAAACTCGTAGTTTATTTTAAGAAAGCCAAGACACAACTGAAAAATATAGTTGACCCAATTTAACAGATAGGAGGATCATGGCAAAGAAAAGCTAAGTGACTTCTGTGATCACACACTGTATCTACGGTAGAACCAAATGCAACATGGTCTTCAAGAGTTCAGTCTGTTAACTACTTTATGACAGTTTCACATACAACACACCAGTACTTGCCCACTGGTGATAAAATACTGTACCTGCTCTCTTGCCACTCCTCTGCACAAGCCACTTTGATCATACCTTGACAATTATTGACACATTTTAAAGCATCTGTTGCATTGAACTCGATTCCAAAACCACGATCATGCTGTATTCTTAGGATATTGTCTCCAAACATCATCTCTGGCAGGGAAGGCATGTGTAACTCATCAGCCAATCTGCACAGAAAAATAGAAGTCCCATGAAGAGAGATCAGTCAGCTGTAATTCAGTGAAAGCAGTCCTTGTTGTGGAATAAGTATTTTTTAGACCATGGTAATTCAGAAGACACATCACCAATATGTTCTGCAAAACTTTGTTGTTTTCCCAGTTTAATCATTTGACATGAATTGCAGTGTCATAGATCCGAAGTGAAGTATTCCTAAAACATTCCTTCTCCATCAGGCTCGTACAAAAGTCTTGTATGTGAGGAATCAAAAAAAAAAATCTGATACGCATGAAGTAGCAGCTTTCAACCTGTTGTAGCAAATCCCTGGATGGTCCTTGAACTACTTTGGCAGGTGCCCAAATAAGAAGTTTTAGGAACGAGCACTCATTGTCAGCAAGTTTAAATTCACTACACAGTGGTCCATACCTCCAAATTTAGAAGCCTACAAAAAGGGGCTGAAAACAACTCTGGCAGAGTATGTGAAAAGTGCAGAAGACATTACCATGCTCTACTACTTTCCCAAGCTGGTAGAGAATACATACTGGTATTTGTAACCCTAAGCATGAAAACTGCAGCCATAGCCACAGACCCAACTGAACAAAGTACTGCATGAACCAAATAAGCATGATCCCTGCAGAAAATCTCAAACCATTCTATTTCACATTTTGTTTTACATCAATCTTTATACTTAATTATGCATATGTACGTATATACATACACTATATATACACACATACACAAATGTAACACCACTTTATATACGTACTGACCTTATTTACCATAAGGTTTCATATACTTCTTTTCCTCCCTACCACTACCTACTTTACTTATCAAGATCAAAAAGAAATACATGACATCTGGAGAGAAGAAAACTTTAGTAAATACACTAATTATAAGGAGGGGAGGGAAAAAAAGCGTCCTAATTGCAACTTTCGTATTGATAATAAGGCATTCCTGAACAAAAGTGGTTATTTCTGTAACCCTGCATACAAAAGAACATTATGCTAACCAAACAAAAAAATAGCGAATTCGTACATCTGGAGAATAAGATACTACGTCTTTCCCAGAGAACGCAGAACAACGCTATGAACTTTTCCATTTCATCATGTGCAGGCCCCTTGACCTGCAAAGACCAACTCCAGCACAGAAAGGAGTTCTTGGCTATGGCACATTTAATCCTTCACCTTTCCACAGAGGTTGCCAAGGGATTTTTGTGATACATATTTGCCAGAAAGAAAATGCCTACAGATACTAATGATGTTCCCCAAGCAACAAAAAAAGGCAAAATGCCAAGAGAAATATATTATAAAAGGAAACTGACTAAAAGCACTGCAACTGGATAGTTCTTGACCCTTCAGATTTGAAGTGGAGGAACTGTTTCGGGGATCTCATGCTAGGTACCAAGACCTACAGGTAAACGGCTGATTTTGGACTTCTCTTCCCTACCCTGCAAAATCCTGTGTGTTCTTTCAAGCTTGTGTTGCGGCTCTTGCAACTTTACTTTTCAGCCTTTTTAACATCTTCTGAAAAACTGTGTGTCCCCCAAAAACATCTAAACAGATAAAGGTAATTTCTGAAAATTACAGAGGTGACTGTTTATTTTAAAATAGCTACAGTTAAAGCAACCGAAGAGATCAGAAGATGAGTATAGCAGGCAATTTGGCTTCTAGACTGGCAGTTCAAGTCTCTCTCTTGTCTACAGATAATGAGGAGAGTTAACATCCTCCTGACCTTAAGAATAAAGATCTTCATTTTTAAGATGTAGCATACTACAAAGTAAGTCCTCACAAACACGCCATAAAATGGGATACTCTGATAACAGCCCTCCTTCCCCTGCAGGACACAGGTACAGCTTAGCTGGATCCTGAATCCTCATTACAGAAAAATGACTAAATCACAGGATTCAAGTTTTCTTTTCTGTAACTGCAAAAACTAAAAAACCATTAGTCAGAAGCAGTCTGAGAAGATTATTTTAGGCATTGAACATAGGAGAAAGATGGAGGAAGGAACATAGTTTTTACCTGTTTTGAGGCAGATATCCAGTTTAAAAAAAAAAAAAAAAAAGTATAATGCTGTTATGTCAAAAAATTTAACATTTACATAGTTTACTATAATTTAAAAAAAAAAAACCACATAACATTTCAAGACATGGGACTTTATCAAACAAATTACCCTCAGAAAAGTTAAAAGCAACATGAATGAAGGGACATTTAACAAGACTTCCACGTATGTATTCCAGAAACTGAAACCAAGAAGTATCTGTCAAATTCAGCTGCCACTAAGGTCAGCTATGGCACTACACAGCTGAACGGTTCAGTTCCACATTGGTGAATCCGACTTAAGTACTTGATGCTGACACAGCAACGTTTTCTCCAACAGCTTGACAGGAGTGGAAATTACAAGGAGAGAGCAAATAATAAATTTTTAATGAAATCCACTATCTTAAAATAGCCATTACCAGGAAATAGCTTATGACAGTCTGTGGACCACATTCAAAAGAACCTTAATCACCATTAAAAAGTAATTAAGAAAAACGGGCTTCTAATTAGCAGGCTTCAGTTCACAGAGGTCCAGATCTCCAAAACCGTTAGCAATCACTAAAAACAAAATTCTGGAAACCATCTGTAACCCAAATCATCCCAGTTTCTCAAGCCAAAGAATCAAGCTCACCCTCGCAAAAAGAGAGGGAACAAAAACCTCCGAGCTACTGGGATAAACAGCGTCTCCCCCGCCCAGGAGACGTTGTCTGTTTCTTGCGCAAGGCGACAAGGCGCCCCAAACCCCTCGCTGCCGGGGAGTGAGGTCCCAGCCCCGCGGGGCTCCTCCCCGCGCCCCGGCGCACCCTGGGGAGGGTCA